CCAACCACAGTTAATTAGCATGAGAAGAAAGTATAAATGCTTTAAGAAAAAAAATAAGACCAACTCCAGTGAATGCAAACACATACAGAATACAGGGAAAATATATATTAAAGATTACTTTTGCTATTGATGCGTAGCATGGAGCATCTCTGCCCTTGTTACTAACAGCTATAGGCTTCTTACTGATCACAGTTTAATCCAAATGCTTTGAAGGTGGAAAATAAAATAAAATGGATGAGACTAGTCAGAAAATGACATCTGTCAACCATTCTGTTGAAAACTAATCTTGATTTCATCGAAATGGATTATGTACTGTAAGTGATGAATCAACTGCTCGTAATTTCGGACTGCTTAAAAAAACAACATGATTCTGGTATGTATGGATGTATTAATAAGCAATGAGTTGTAAACAATCTTTCGCAGACTCTAAAGTGTGTTTCTCCCCCATATGTTGTACCGTCTGCCAACCCATTAAATCAGAATGCATGGAGGTAGTAGTGTAATGATCTGGGGCTATTCTGATGCTTCGGGGCCTGGGTGACCAATTAATTGAACTATTTTCTCTATCAGAAAACACTGAGAGAAAATCAAATCATCATCTTCATCATCATCATTTTGAGGTTCCAAGTTCAAGCACGCTTAGCTTATATAACGGCACAGCGAAGAAAAACCCATCAACAAGCCTCCCAAACTAAGGGGATCGTCTTAAAGTCCAGACTTAAACCAACTAAGATGCTGTTGGATTGCATTTAATGGATCCTTCCTGACCTTTTGTTTTGAATAAATCTAAACTTGTTTAACAGAAAGTTGTGCTGACTTTCTCAACTACAGCAGGTAGCAGAGCGATTAAGGGTAATTACAGCTGTTTGATGGCAGGTTGACCAAAGCTACAACCAATTATTAGGAATGGGGGGGGGCATTATATGCTCTAATGGGGTCATGTTGGCTTAGATTACTTCGATCCATCCATTTTCTGACACGCTTAATCCCAAGTGGGGCGCGAGGGGTGCTGGTGCCTATCTCCATCTGTCTACAGGCGAGAGGCAGGGTACACCCTGGACAGGTCGCCAGTCCATCGCCGGGAGGCTTAGATTACTTATTAAATAAAATCATCCTTCCAAATGATTAAAACAGATTTTTTTCATGAATATCAAGCTGATATTAGAATTAGTTTGATTATCTTAAATATGCAAGCATTGAAAAAAGCCCCCAAAAAAGAAAGCAATGAGGAGGGATTATACTCATTTTTTTATAATGCAGATTGAAAAATCACTTTGAAATAAAAAAGAGTGAACTTTTAAGAGTAGATTAACCATCTACAATGTACTTATACAGAATATGATTATTCAGTTCTACTGGAGGTTTGGGGGTTTGATCTGCAAAGATGTTTTATGTGCTGGCAGCTGTAGCTGGGGTAATCTGAAGTAATGCAGTTGTCAGGCTCTATTGTCTCAGCTGCTGGCTTCATCTCCCACTTGCAGCCCATAAAAGTGGAGTCATTAGAACCGCTAATGAAGTGGAGAGTCTGGACCAGTGGCAGATAAAGCCAGCCAGAAAGAGATTGCTTCCTCAGCTTGGTTCTTTATTCACTTCTCTGAGGAAAATGCATTTCAAAGACTTGATGAAATTATGCCTTTCAGATTTCCTGCTCATTGTCTTCTGAATCAGTTTGATTGAAAATATTTGAACCACTATGGAGCACAATTGTCTATACGTGATACAAACTAAGACACAAATATTATGCTGAATTTAATTTGGAGCTTTATACTTTTATATCTTTTGTTCAGTAGTAAATAACAGGTTTGTATATCCGTCAGCAAATGTCAGTGAGAGCAAAGACGTGGGGCCTGATGAAAGGTCGAACACATAAAATGTGTAGCTCCAGATGACCTTTTTCAGAATGACTACATATTATTTTCCAAAAAAATTGGTTTACATTAAATTGATTAAAGCAGATTTTGGGGGGTAAATTGATTTCCAGGGCAATCATAACTAGTTTGATCTAAACTTCTTAATCATTTTGAAATTTAAAGAAAGAAAGTAGATACTGATGCCGACTTAAGGATAGTTGACATCCCCTCAAACTGTCATGTCATTGGTGATGTGACAAAAATTTAAGTTAAAAATAAAACAAAAAAACAGCCAAAACACCTTGGCTGACTGGCTCCTCTTCAGACCAATACATTAACCAGCCAAAATCCTTTGCTGATATTAACTTTTTTTGTATTAGTATTAGCAAAGTGCATACATTACCACTACACCCATTTACTATACAGTAATAACACATACAGTTGTTTCAGTTTGTTTTGACATCTACAATCATCTCCCTTGTTTTGTTCACATTTGTGATCAGATGATTGTTACCACACCATGCCATGAATCAGTTCACCAGCTCTCTGTACTCAGCTTCTCTCCCATCTTTGATGCACCCAATAACTGCAGAGTCATATAAGTATTTCTGCAGATGAAAGGAATCTTTCTCATACTGAAAGTCAGAGATGTACAGAGTAAAAAGGAATAGAGACAGAACCACCACTTGTGGCGATTCTGTGCTGCTGACTAGTTGATTACACAGCAAACCCTTCAGCCTCAAACTGGGCTGTTTTAATCTTTGATCCAGGCTATTGTTGATACCTCCATCTTAGTCTTCTGAAGTTTCTCATAAAGAAAGTCAGGCTGAATCGTATTAAATGCATTGAAATAATCCAAGATGATGATCCTCTGCAATAAGCAAAATGCAGGAGGTCCTGATAGCTGCGTGTTCCTTGACTGAGCTGAAGCAACAAAAGTGTCTCTGCAGCCTTTATGATATATGATGTCAGAGCAACAGGTCTATTGTCACTGAGGAATGTTAGCTGAGTTAACTTTGGTACTGGAACAAGGCAGAAGGTCTTTTACATAACTGGAACTGTGGTCCTGTGCTGTAGAATCGCAGGGAGCTGCTGAAGCTGAGGCTTCAGGCCAAAGGAAGCAGGATGCTTTCCGGCTTCTTCCTATATGCCTCCTTGCTTTCTCTTATCTTAACTCTAAGTTGCTTCTACATACTCCTCAATAATTCACTGTCTCTCTTCATTAAGGCTTTTTTTTTCTTGTTTAGGAGATCCTTCAGATCACTGGTGATCCAGGATTTATTATTGCGGAAGCATCTCACTCTTTGGTTGGAGCTCAATAGGAATCATTGTCATTTTTATTACATAAATGGAGGAAGAAAAATAATGTTGATTTCAAGAATTGGACTATATTACACAGTAAAATGTACAGTTAAACTTCAGAGAAATACTCTAAAGGTATAATGAGTTTTAGTTTAATTTATTGCTGTACATAATTAACTTTTTTTTAATGGTTAAAAAGATCAGAGGTGGGGGGTGGCCTTTAAAAAACCCTGTACCAGTTGATTTCTAATCTAACTCTATCTCTACGTGTGACTCACTCTATGTAGGAAGCTCATTTTAATTGTTTGTATCCAGCATCTCACTCTTAAAGTCGTTAACATTATTTTATTTAACTTGTAAAGGGAGAATTTTGCTTTTGAAAAATTTCACTATTATTTCTTTGTAAGAAACCAAGGAACTTAAACGCTGCTTGAAGATTAGATGGATCTTTAAACTGTCTAAATTTTTCCAATTAAGGCCCACCTCCTCCATTTACGATCACACGAACCTGTCAGGGTCCCGGTCTCTCCCTGAACAGTTCGTGCATTCCTTGCAATGAGAAAAATCCATGTTTATTCCCAAACCGCCCTTTTCTCTTTCCATCTGCACCAATATAGATCTAGCTAATGGTGTATAGAGCTGGCTAATTGTTTCAGAAACTCATAAAGTGCAACTTTTGAAGTGTCAAACGTCAACCTACTAAAAGGTGTAGTTAAAGATAAATTTACATTATAACAATTTAGATTTTTTTTAATAATGCCTGTTTTTTTCCCTGCATTCAGAAAATAAAAAGTTATTTTTCTTGCACTCATTAAAAAAATGTATGCATAAACTTTTAACTAATCTTTGATGAATAAATCAAAGATAAGTTAAAAGTTTATGAAGATGAATAAATAAAATGTTTTCATTTAAGGTTTGAATATCTGTGTTGTTCATCTTTAAAGCAATCAAACGGGTCCAATAATCTAAATAAAATTAGAATCTTGAGTTACACATCTAGCAAATTACAAAGTCGTGCCAACGTTTAAAAAAAGAAAAAAGTTTCTGCAGTGAAGCCTTGGTGCTGTGGGGCCATCTGAATGTCTTTAGCTGATGCTGATTAGTAAATTTTATGAGCAGACATCTGTGAACTGACAGCTGTGTCTTCCAGACGGAGAGTTTAAATTTACATGATGAAACCCTACAGTGTAAAAGACCTGGGTGGATATGTGAGTTAGATCACATGTTTAGAAAAACGAAAGGAAAAAAGCTAAAGTCAAAGGTTATTGATCAGTGATCAGGAACTGAGAACACTGTGGATTTGTGTATGCGGCAGACAGAGGGAATGAGATTGACCTCAAGGCCACCAAAAGGCCGTCCCTCTGCGCTGCACCTGGAGCCAGCCTGTAAATCAGCCACAACGCTCCAATGTGTTTGGCAGAGGAAGCAGCCATACATTTCCTTTATCATCCCGCAGCCCAGACAGCCAATCAGGGAGAACACCACCCGGCATGTGAAGATTACCTTTATGATTGTGTATGTTGGTGTTAGAGTGAGATTCCAGGCACTGAGTGATAACTAAACTAAAAATAAATGCAAACTCAACTAAAAGAAACCTCGAAATTGTAAACAGAAGTTAAACATTGATTTAAACATAGCCATTTTTTGTTATTTGTTCATTTCATTTCTAGAATCATTCGCAAAATTGATGAATGTACAACCCTACATTTGCAAATAATGCTACTAAACCATAGGTTCTGGCAATCAGGACAGAGAACACAACATAACAAGTTTGAGATGCTTACAGGGTACTTTCTTTTAAACAGTTTTTCATATTGCTTATTTCTCTTTCCTCCCGCTTTCTTTAAGCTCGTAGCTGCAATCGTCTTCATCAGTATCGGTGTCATTGCTTCTTTCTTCTGTGCCATTGTGGATGGGATCATTGCTTCAGAGTTCATTGTAAGTATTGCCCTGATTTTTCTTGAAAAGACATAAATCCAAAGGATTCTAACCTTTATTTTGTGTAAAACAAACCCCCCCTAGTGTTCAAGCTTCACACAGACACACTGATCAGGTCAGGAGAAGACCATATCAGATGTCCTGATCTCAGGTCGCCCTGTAGAGAGGCTCCTAAAGCTTTTAATCAAATTAAAGTATCAAAAAAATAAAAAAGATGCCAAACAATTTTTTTTAATAAATTACAGGTATCAGGAAAGGATGTTTTAAATACACATACTAAATGATTATATGTGCATTACGCACATTACATGACATAAGCTCATTACCATTTTCCCTTTGAAGAACATAGACTCCTGCTCCTAATGATATTCTAAAAGCTGCACTGAGCTCCTGATATTGATCACCTATATTGTATGGTCTCGTCAGATTTATGCATTTGGTTCTCATGCAGTAAAAGTCCTATCTATTGCACATTCAGGGCTTGGAAATTAAAATGAATTTTATTAGCTTTGGTGAAGCATAAAATGCAGTGAAGAATAATGGGGTAGCTTTTTGCAGTCCAGTGCAGGGAAATAAGCAGATGTATGCTGTAAACCTTTGCAGCTTCAGTGACACTCAGACTGAGAGATGCAACTCAGACCCACGGTGATGAAAAAATGTTTCTCTAAATATAATAAGAAGAGAAAATGTTATGATTTTGCATGATGTGTTTCACACTTAAATTTAATTTCTTAAACTCTTTTCACTGTTTCAGGACATAAGGCCATTGCAGGAGGACATGTGTGACTATTACAGCAGTGGATCGGGATACGCCTACGATAACTACTATACCGAGGTTTATTGCTTTTTATCCATGCATATGGACTTTTATAATATATATATATATATATATATATATATATACAAAAAGATAACTCTTAAAGCCCCAATCCTTTTTGTTGCTGAGTTGAACATTTTTGAAGCATACGGTGACATCTAGTGGCTTAAATGCGTTACTACACAGAGAAAATCCTGCCACTTTGAGGCAAGGCAAGTTTATTTGTATAGCAGAGGTGTCAGAGGTATTGATCTTTATTAGTCAAGTAAAAGTTTAAATCCTACTGTTTAAAAACACATTTTTAGAAGTTAGATTATTAACTTAAAATTGTTAGTGAAGTAAAAGTAAATTTTTTAAAGCTATTTAAATGTTTAGTAATGCATCAAAAATTGTTAAGGACAGATGCGCAACTGTATTAAAGGAACCTTTTACTACAATTCTGGATGATAACCTTTTTATAACTAATAATAACTCTGTCAAATTTAACTTTACATAATCTTGAATAGCTGTTTACTTTGGTGCAGTACCGAGTCCAACCACAAATAAATTGTCTGGATGAAACTAATCATTTTGATGGATTTCATTTTCTCAGATACTAACAGGCCATTATGAAAGTGAACTTAAAAGAAACAAAACTAACAAGTCTATTTTTTAAATGTAAGGAGTAGAAAGAAGAGATAATAGAAAAACAATGAAAGGAGAAGTAAAAAGTTGTCTAAAAATAATTACTCCAGTAAAGTATAGATAGCCAAGATTTCTTCTTAAGTAAGGAAACAAAGTATTTGTACTTTCTAACTTGACACCTCTGTATAGTACAATTCATTACAAGGACAATTCAAAGTGCTTTACCTGAATTTAAAAAAAGAAAGAAAAATAAAAGCAAAAAATTAAGATAAAAACATGTTAGTGAAACAAAACAGTTGGAGCACGACCTCAAACTACGGTAATAATACACTAGTTAACAGTTTAACTTTAACAGTCAAAGGCAGCTCTAAACAAATGGGTTTTTAACTTTGACTTAATAGAACTCATGCTTTCAGCACTTTTAAAGTCTTCTGGGAGTTTGTTCCATAAGTGGAGCATAGGAACTAAATGCTGCTTCTTCATGTTTGGCTCTAGTTCTGGGTAAACGGAGTAGGCTTGAACTAGAGGACCTGAGTGGTCTGGGAGGTTGATAAATGCATGAATTATTCTTTTCTAGATCCTGCTTTGACATTAGTCCTTTAATCCTGGGAATGTTCTTCAGGTGATAAAAGGCTGACTTTGTAACTGCCTTTATGTGCCTCTGAAGGTTCAGGTCTGAGTCCAACATGACACCAAGATTTTACCCATAATCAATGGTAGTTGTAAGTCTCCAGTTGTAGTTTCTCAACCTTAAAATGTCAATATGCTCCTATATTTTCCACTCTCCTTGAAAACCTTCAAGAGGTTTCTTGGTTTGAGAGAAGGATTTACCCACATTGCATTTACATATTTCTTTTTATTCAAACTCAAACCCTATTCACCCTGTTGACCTCACTGCAGGTGACGTGCCGTTCATTTAACAAAGCCTGCAAGATGAAACTTAGGAGCAACACCTGCTACTGCTGCTACCTTTACAACTGTGAGAGGTAAGATAATCAGACTTTAACTAAGCACTTTGCAATTTTAAATCTTACATCAGGAGTGTCTGACTGAGACTAGAGGCGGTTTTAATGTTGAACAAGTGGCCCCCCCCTTTAATGGGGCACAGCCAGTGGAGGGGCATGAGAAAGAGACTAAATGAAAGTTATCCTTTAGGGTCCTAGAGAGGGAAATGGTGAAATGCTACTTGGTTATCATAGCTCACTCGAATGCATCCCAAGCACATCCATGATTTTTCACAATTTAGAGACCCCCAGGGAATCCCAGACCTTTTTGTAGAGACCTAAATACTTTATGCCAAATAAAAATGATCAGTTTTGTTTATCAACCATTTCCTCTCTTACAAAAAAAAAAAAAATTCAGACCAGACAGACAGTGATAACTTAAAAGGCGTTAATTAAAAACTGCGTGCGGCTGCTCGTCAGCTGAGGCGGGCTCACGGGCAACGCTGCCGGGACTAAGACTCAAGTCAGTGACCTCTGAACTCAAACGGGGAACGACAATGAGTATGAAAGTCACCAAGCTGGCAAAGTTCAGTCCTAGCCCAGGAGAAGGGGTGAAGACCATAGGAGTGGAAATCCACATCTTGAAATGGAGCCATATCAGAGGTCCAGAACAGAAGAGGAGCAGCAACCAGCAGGCAGCCAAAACACACAGAGGAAACAAGGGCAAATCCAAGCAGTGGTCAGAAGATCGGTCCAAGATCGGCAACAGGTGGAATCCAGAAAACAGTCTGGAAAACACAGAACAGGCAAAAACAGAGCAGAACAGGGGCGGCCTAACTCAGAAATCCGCGGTAGAAACAGGTCAGGATCAAGCAGAACTAAACATATACAGAAACGTTAGAATTAGTCTCGCTAGAAGCTCAAATAATCTGGCACCAATGGCTGGGAACCAGTGATATAAATAGCAGCAGGAACAGGTGGATCTGATGAGAGATAATGAGCGTAGAGCGGAAGAAAGCAGATAAGAAATAAAGGGGTAAAACCCAGCTTATGGTGCCAAGATCATGACAATAATAAAGGTTTAATGACAGGTTAAGGGTTCAAGCAACATATATGTGGTCGACAATAAAATCTGTTGTGTCAGTAGGATTCTAAATATTAATATGATTAAGTTGAATTGAATAAGGCAGAATGATGAAAAAGCTGTCCCCATGTCCTTCAGAAGTCTAAGCCTATAGCAGCATAACTATAGAGATAGCTCAGGATAACCTGAGTCACTCTAACTATAAGCTTTATCAAAAAGGAAAGTCTACACTTAAAAGTAGACAGGGTGTCTGCCTCACGGATTAAAACTGGTAGTTGGTTCCACAGGAGAGGAGCCTGATAACTAAAAGATCTGCCTCCCATTCTACTTTTAGAAATTCTAGGAACCACTAGAAAACCTGCCGATTTAGAGCGACTTAACAGGAAGCCAATTAGGAGAAGCTAGGATAGAAGAGATATTATCTGTCTTTTTAATTTTCATAGGAACTCTGGCTGCAGAATTTTGGATCAGCTAAAGGCATTTAACTACAGTTTGATGACTTCCTGAGCTTCCTAGCTTTGCCTCCCCTGTTCCTGTTTGGCTGTGACAGGATCATGGAGAGAAATATCAGCTGTGCTGCTGCCATTAACACCTTTGTTTATAGATGAGGAGATCTGCCTGTTTTTCAGTTTAGTCCTGTTTCTCTGACTGCGACTGGCTGGATGTGCTTTCTTCATCCTCTGACATGGGAGCTGGCTCGGAGCTCGTCTGCCTGGCTGTGTGTCCTTTTAAAAGGGAATTTTTCCTCTCCATTGTCACTACAAGCATGCTTAGTGTGATTGCAGTCGAGTCAATTAGTCAATGCAATCAACCGGTTTTCGTTAGATAGAAAACTTTAAATTCATTTGACTGTATGATCTGGTTGAATTGAAGTGCCTTGAGACTAAATGTGTTATGAATTGGCGCTATAGAAATAAACTGAATTGAATTGAAAAAAGCTTGTTGGTGATTACAGATATGCTCATCCTGCCAGATTAATTTGTCTGCAGTTCAGTATGGCCACATTTAAAACAGTAAAAGTCACAGCTGCCCTCTTTCCTGTTCCAGCACAGACTATCACACCCATTACTACGAGTTCACGGGGGTCAGCAGCTGCTGGGATGTGATCCACCTGCACCGGCTGCTGTGGGCCTCAGTGGTGCTGAACGTGGTCGCCTTGTTCCTGGGCATCATTAACGCCGCCATCCTCGGAGCGTACAAGGATATGGTGAGACGAAGTCCCAGAAGACTTACAGCAGCAACAAAAAACTGACATAAGGGGGGAAAAAACTAAGAAATTCAAAAAATAAAAAGTAGTTTTAGTCCTGAGTGAAATAAATATTGCATGTGGGCTGTCGCAGATGTTGGACTTTTATATGATGGTGTATCTTTTACTGCCTGCAGACTTCCAGGCATCTGTTTCACTACGATATATGATCGGTGTATGACTAATATACTATTTAAACAAGCTCGCCCATTTCTGAACTGCCTGATATAAAGCCCAATTTAACCATTAGTTCTTTTCAAGTGTAAAAGTTAAGGTTTTGAAAGTGCTTTTACTAAAGTTTCTGTTAAGTGCCAAAATTATCAACACATAGCAACAGTATGAAAGCCATGTTTTCACCATTGAAATGTGTGTTTTTTATTCTCTGCTGAATTCACCGCTGTGTTTGGACTCAGTTTTTACTCCTAAATGATTGATGGATCATAGGCTTCCTGGTAACTGGGAGTACTGAAAGCAGTCAGATTAGACAACTTCAGATAAGCAGTCAATTTCCACAGAAAAAAAGGCTTTATGAAAGAATAGAAAACTGATGATGTGCTTCTGAATATTTCACATAAGTCTGACTTACTGGAAGCAAAACATCACAAAAAAAGCTCAAAAGTTTTTCACATGATGATCTGTCTCATTAGTTTAGGACTAAGATTGTAGAGTTGGAAATCATTGAAAAAGGTTACCGGTATTTATTTCAGAATTTTAGTTGGAAAAAGTGAAGCAATTGGATAAAAATATATACATATGCATATATATATACAGACATACACATATATAGGCTATATAAAATACTGCAGTCAAGTAAGTGTCAGTAGTACTGCCATTTTGTGAATATTGCGATGTTCCAGTTTAATGAGATTAATATATTTTTTTTTTCCTGCAGCAGAAGCCCTCCCCTCAGGTTGCTCGGAGCCCTGCACCACCACCCCACATCCTGTACAACCCGACCCAGCACATGCTGTCCTATTCAGGCTTCTGTCCCTCAGGACAGGCTCTGCCCGCCTACCCTAACTATCCCATACCTATGCAGGTACCAAAGCATAACTGCTAGGAAACAATTCGATGCTCCTCTGTCATTTGAAATCCCCCCATGTGTAGCAGAAAGTTTTTTTTTTTAATGCTTTTACGTGAAATATTTTGATAAAACTTTAATCTGATCAAATCTTTGGCCATTAAGATCAAATATATATGAAAATCATTTCACTTAAAGATAATAATGGGGATTTAACTGTTAACCCCCCCCACTGCACAGCATGCCAGCAGCTATCAGACACCTGCTACTCCCCAGATGATCCCTGAAGGAGGCTCTGGAGTCTGCCCCTCTGAGGAGAGCCAGAGCCAGCCGCCCACCCAGGCTCCCACTCAGCCACAGCCTCAGGGAGCCAACCAGGACCCTGGAGGCTACATGCTGACTCCCAATGCTCCCGCCCTGTACGGATCCTCCTACAGCCCCTTTGAGAAGCCTCCACCATATGCCTGCTGAGCCCTGGAGAACACACAGAGAGGTGGATGAGGAAGAGTTGGAGAAGGACGTCTCTATCCGGCTTAGGCTGAATGTAGCAGAAGACACTTTGTAGGCTGAGTTTGTAGAAAGGAAACTCACAAACTACATCTGAGTTCTGTTTGCACCTGTCTTATTTATTTTAACTGATCTCAGACACAGACAGATTAGCAGATTACATCCTATAATATGCTGTCATTTGAGGTAATCTGCTTAGTCGTGTTTTTGTAGCATTAGATTATAATTGGTCTTTCATAAAGGCAACATCTAAATAAGATTGATTTGGCTCCTTGATATAAGAGAGGAATAATCACTCTTGGAGTAGCACCTCCTAAATAAAGAGATTATGCATAGTCCTCAAAGAGAGGCTCACAGTAGACATTTTTTCACAAGTGTCCAACTTTTAAAGTTTAGAGTATTGTTCTTGTTGATAGATCCTGTGAATTTACTGCATAATAGAAGAACAGACTGATCTGATCCATCTCGCTTAGGGCCTTGTGAGAGCATTGACCTCCTTGAACTTTTAAAAGTTTTGGCACATTTCAAGCTTCAAACATAAATATATAGAATTGTAACTTCGTGTGAAGAATCAACATGAAGTGGGACATTATCATGAAATGGAACACAATTTATTATATTTAAAAACGTTTTAACAAATAAAGAACTGAAGAGTGGGGCGTGCAAAATGAATCTGCCGCTTTACCTTCAGTGCAGCATAATCCCTCCAGAAGTTCAGTGAGGATCTCTGAATGATCCATTGTTGACCTATATGACTGATGAGGATAAATAGAATCCACCTGTGTGTAATCAAGTCTCTGTATAAATGCACCTGCTCTGCGATAATCTCATAGTTCTGCTAAAAGCATAGAGAGCATTGTGAAAAACAAGAAACACATCAGCTCAGGACAAGATACTATCGTGGAAAAGTTTAAAGCTGGATTTCGATACAAAATGATTTCCCAAGCTTTAAAAAACCTAAGGAGCACTGTAATATTGAAATAGAAGGATTGCAAATCTATGAAGACCTGTAAATTTTGAATTGCTCGTGATCACTGAGGATGATCTTCAGCTGAGGCGGGACACTCTGTCTGTACGACAACAATCATGTTGCACAAATGCTGCACAAATCTAGTCTTTATGAAAGAAAGCCATTTCTTAAAGATGTCCATAAAAAGTCTTGTTTAAAGTTTGCCACAGGACACCTGGGAGACAGCAAAAATGTGGAAGAAGGAGATCTGGTCAGATTAAACTAAAATTGTTATGTTTGGCATAAAAGCAACACAGCTCATCACTCTGAACACACCATCCCCACTGTCAAACTTGGTGGTGGCAGCATCATGCTTTGGGCCTGCTTTTTTTTTATGCAAAGACAGGGGAGATGGTTGTAATTGATGGGAAAATAGATGGAGCCAAATACAGGACCATTTTGGAAGAAAAGCTGCTGGAGTCTGCAAAAGACCTGGGACTGGGACAGAGATTTATCTTCCAACAAGGCAGTGGATTGGAACGATTCACAAATAAACATATCAGGTGTTAGAATGGCCAAGTCAAAGTCCAGACCTGAATTTAATCAATAATCTGTGGGGGGAAAAAAACGCTCTCCATCTAACCTCACTGAGCTTAAGGTGTTTTGCAAGGAAGAATGAGTAAAAATGACAGTCACTCAAAGTGCAAAACTGATAGAGACATACCCCAGGCGACTTGCAGCTTGTAGCGACTTACAACCCAATTTTTCAGTGTAAAATATCCAATAAATTTCCTTCCACCTAATGATTGTGTCCAACTAGCTGTTGATTCTTCACAAAAAAATTTAAATTTCATATCTTTATGTTTGAAGCCTGAAATGTGGCAAAAGGACAAAGTTCAAGGGGGCCAAATTCTCTCACAAGGCACTCTATAGATTGTCTATATTCAAATTAAAAGGGCTTTCTCAAAATGTGAAATGGAGATTAAGTAATGTTCATGTTGCTCCTGGTTATGTTTGTGTTTAATATTCAATGTGCACTTAATAGTCAACACTGTATGTATTATTGATGTGTGTAAACAGATGGGATTCTCATTCTGCTGCTATAAAATTAATACAAATGTATTGTTGAACCTATACATGTGCAGTAAGGGCTTTTAAAAAAGATATCAGATTCTAAATTTTGGAAAATAAACATATTTTATTGTTTTCTGGGACAGATGAGAATAATGCAACGTTTATGTATGAGGCAGTGAATATAGTGTAATATGTGGGGATGTCCCTGAAATGGGCACTAGGATTATCAGTCTCAATTACTTTCTTTGCTAAAATATGTGGATTTCCCAGAAATGTTTTTTTTTTCTGTATAAGTTTCTGTTTTGGTTTTGGAAGAGAATTTAAGTAAAAAGAAATAAAATGTGGTTCTGCAACTCATTCTGTTACAGGTTGTTTCTTTTCCCCAGGCTGACTTAACCTTTTCTTATCCTGAAAACAGGACTTTAGATATTTACTCCTGTGGTTCTGCTACTTGTTCATTAATGCTTTTTAAGGGCCACAACAGTAAGCATACTTTGAATAAAAAAGTTTCTGACGTTTAATGTTTACTTCCAATTAACCCATAAGAACTTGACTCGTTCTCATAATTTCCTGTCTTAAAGAAAAATATAACTTAATTCATTATCTTGATCCAACTGGTTTAGATTTATATATATAAAGAGCAACCAATCTGCAGTAATCTAAGAGTGTGATCCTCTCGGTGATGTCTGCCTCTTCTTAATGACAGTGGGTTTGTTGGAGCAGGTGTATGATGGCATCATCAGCTCCACAGCAATAAGCAAACTGCAGGGGGTCCTGATAGCTGCTTGTTTGAGGGGAAATAATAGAAGTCTCTCTACAACCTTCATGACATGGGATCCAAGGTAACATGATTATAGTCACTGAGGACATTTAGCTGAGTTTTCTTTGTAGCTGGAACAGGGCGGGACTTCTTCCACTTCCTAGTAATCATCTTCTGGGTCAGCCTGAAGAGTAAAGAGGTGCTGTAGAATCCTACAGAGCTGCTGAAGCTGAGGCTTAGGGCCAAAGGAGGCAGGGTGTCTGTTTGACTAAGGGTAGGAGAGAACGATGCTGAGCTTGTACCTGAAGCAATTATTAAACGTGTTCAGTTCATTAGGTCTTTCCATACTTCCATCTGTCTGGATTTCCTTCATCCCTGAACAAACACCTGATGTTGTTCTCCAGGAGCTTGCTTTCCAGCTTCCTTCTATATGCCTCCTTGCTTTCTCTTATCTTGATCCTAAGTTGCTTCTATATACTCCTCAATAATTCCCTTTCTTTCTTCATTAAGGCAATTTTTTTCTTGTTTAGCAGATCCTTCAGATCACTGGTGCATTTTTGGGGAAGCATCTCACCCTTTAGGTGGGGATTATAGTATCTACAAAGAAGATTATACAGCCAATAGGAATCTTTGTCCTTTTTATTATGTAAATGGAGGAAGAATAACCAATATTGATTTCAGGAATCACTGCAAAAGCAATACTGAATTGTATTACACAGTAAAAAAAAAAAAAAAAAAAACAGTTTAAAGAAGTACTCTGTAAAGGTACAGGCTTTGTTAGAAGTAGTTTTAGATTATTATATTGAGATACATAATTTACTGCACTTGACTTATCTTTCACTGTTAAAAAGATCAGTGGGGGGTTAAAAAACCCTGTATCAGTTGATTTCTAATCTATCTCTATCTCTATGTGTGACTCACTCTATGTAAGAAGCTCATTTTAACTGTTTGTTCACGGCATCTCATTCTTGCAGTAAATAATCTTATCTTATGACCTTGGGTGTTTGTCAGAATATAAACAAACTTAAAAGTGAGAATTTAGCTTTTTTTTTTTTTTTTAAATGTCACTATTTTTGTGTAAGAGGCAAAGAATTGAAACTGAAGCGTACTGGGAGTCCTGAAAGTAGATAAGCAGCCAGTTTCCACATAAAAAAGGACAGAATAGAAAACTGCTGATCTACAGGGTTTCTGAAGATTTCCCATAAATTGGGTTTACTGGAAGCAAAACATCACAAAAACAAACAGGGAACTAAAGCCTTTTTCTCTATACCAGGGACAGTCTCTGCTCACCAACTAACTACTCCACACTCATGCAGATTTATTTCAGATCCAGTCTTAAATAACACACACTAAGCATTTAGTTTTTTTGAAAATACAATTTTACTCTTTAATATAATGTTCATACAGTGGATTTTATTTTTAAATAGGTTTAAGGGAAGTTAAAACTCAAAAGGCAGACATCTTGCAGCATTGTACACATACTGGCAGTTTAAGGTGAAAAATACAAATAAGGGAATAGTTTAAGATACAACACATGATAAAAAAAATAATACAATAAAAGGTTGAACTTAATACTCCTGCATTCATTCATAATAAAACTTTGAAATGACGAGGATGTAAAAGAACACTGGAGCCCTTTTGGCGTTTCAAGTCAAAAAATGCTCCTTAGACATTCTCAGTTTTGAAGTGTTTAGATTTGCTCAGCACCGATAAATTAAAATCAGCTCCTACAGACTGAAGCTACTTTGATTCCAGGCTATTGCTCTTCCCACCTCTCAGTTTCTGTGTCAAGCAGCCCAACTTATTGCTAAAACTTTTCTCAGATGCAGAGGTCGAGAGGCTTTAATTAGACCAGAGCAGCGAAGCGCTGCAAAGGCCTATTGTAATGTTTTATTTTTTGTTGAAACAATCAAATATTGCAGCAGAAGGTAGTGTTAGATTTCTGTCATTTCTAAAGCATTTTACAGTAACATTATTTACACACAGTATAATACAGCCGCTCTTCTTGTTCTCAGTAGCTTGTGTGGTCGGGTTGATCTAGTGCTCGGTGCCCCTTCCGCTCTCCGTGTGCTTCTAGTGGCTAAATCTGTGGATGTCGGTTTGCTATATGACAGGTTTTAAACTGTGACTCCTGGGAAAAGAAGAGGATTTGTGATGGAATCGGGGATTTAGGTTCAACAATGAACCCACCGGGACAATGCGGACATTGGTTTCATCTGGAGGGGGTTACAGTACTGCACGGTTGCAAAACGGTTCACCTGATCAGAGGGGAGCTGTTGACAGGTTTGGGTTGGCTGTTATTTTCTAGGCACATGGTTGATTTTTAAGGTTGCAGGCAGACATGAAGTGCTATTCTAATTGAGAGTAAATAATAAAAAAAACGACGTTACGCTGCAGTCCATTTCTACCTGTAACTATGTGCAAGGTCATCAACAAAACACAACGCTGTGTCTTGATGCTGTGGCTCAAGAGGAGATTCAGCATTTTAAGGGCAAATATGTTTTTTAGGTTCACAATCAGAGTGTTTTTATGCACCGAATGCTCAGAGCTGTTAAAGCACCAGATGATGGGTTTGTCTGAGCAGTGTGTAATTGGGTCCATCTTGTTAAGCATTTGTTAACACTTATTTTATCCAAGCATTAGAAGTGCCTTCGACTTCAAGAGAAATCTATATTTTAGCGATCAGATAAAGTAACCATTTAACAGTACTCTGAAAATCATTACAACCCTGTAATACATTAGCATCAGATATAAAATATAAAATATATCTTGATTCCTGTTGGGTACAGGGGATCTGATGCTCATTTTCCATCTGGCTTTTCTCTCACAGAAATGTAAAACTTGTGGAAACCTAAGCAGATGCCTCTATCAAGCCTTTTTGCCAAATTACGGGAAAAAAAAGTAGTTTCAATTGAAGCTACCGTATCACCCAATGTTACAGGATTTTCAGTGGACATGTTCCCCCATCAAGTCAAAGACCTGCTCGTAGACTGGTTTTGGTTACAGCTGAGAGTTCAGCAGGGGACAGGAGTGAGAACGGATGTCGTTGTGTTTGTGAATGGCCGTGTCCAGATCTAGAGGTTGATCATTCACAGCTACTTCCATGCAGCCGTTGTAGGGAGCCGACACAAGCGTGGACACCAAAGAAACATCTGAGGGAAGAAATGACTGCATGTGAGACAAAGAATGATCAGGGGTACAAACATTTTTTTACATCTGCCTCTTAGAAAACAAAACCCAAACCTAGCAAGATAAAACAGTGCCTATTACCACTCTGAGGAACAAATAATAGCTTCATCGAGGGATGTCTGGATCTGATTGGTATCGGCCTGCATCTAACCTCTCAGATAAATATATAATTGGTTAATTGCACACAGGTCAGGTGTTCTCATACCTGTTCTAATCAAGCCTTGATTAAAGTATTTATGACTCTGGCTGATAAAATATCGGGTCAATACACATATGGGTGCATTGCTAGTTTTCTAAGAGTAAGAATCTAAAACTATAAACACTTCCTGCAGAAAATACAGAAAAATATTGCTTAATAACACTAAAATCAATAAGAAAATCCAAAGTCCAAAAAATATTGGACTTGATCAACTAGTAAATGTGGATAGCCAACTTTCTCAACGCTTTATGATGTTAAAATTCTCAGTGGCTTTAATAAAAAGGTTAGAATTAGTCCTGACCTGGGAGACCT